ATTCGTGTTGACGGAATCGTACCTGTATTGACAGTGATTGTTACCCGTGCTGACGGTGTTTGTTATCCGTGATGACGGTAATTGTTACCCGTGATTGGAGGAGTTGTCCCCAGTAAAAGTTAACAATGATTAGTATCCGTGTTGACGGAGTCATTACCTGTGATTGACAGAGATTGTTATTCGTGTTGACGAATTTAGTCCAGTTGTGGGCGGAGTTGTACCCGTGTTGATGGAGTCTCTCCTCATGTTGACGAAGTTTAGTTCAGTTGTGGACGGAGTTGTTTCTCGTAAAGTTAATTTGATATTATGCATCAAAAGTTTTGTCAGATGATTGATCAGTTGTTGTCGTAACGACTGGGTTCAGCGCAACGGATGTTGTTCCCCAAGCAGTTTTCGCAGTTTATTTCTGTGGTTGGCAAATTTCTGGGTTTCTTGGTATTCAACCATCTTCTACCTCGATTGTTTGAAGGTCGTTCGCTCTTCACCCAGTCGGGTCCAAGCCGTTTGAATAGGGGCAGTTGTTGCACCCCAAAATTTGCTCAACCTTTTCTTACCTGGTTTATGTCTCATTGCATTATCATTTGCATAGTTATATCATTTGCATATCATGATATCATTCATATAGTAGGGGATCAAGTGTGATTCTTATAAAGGAGAGCCTAACAAGAGGTCTCATTCAAGATTGAGAAGTTGTCAAAGTCATCAGAAGGTGGTGTGAATGCCTAAGGGTTTAGATGTTTGAGTGTGAATCTTCTCCTAACTTGAGGATCAAATGAAGACCATCAGAGGGTTGTGAAGTGTTGAATGTGAGAAGAGGATGTGTATGGAGCTCATAGAATGCCTAGAGGGCCATGGGATAGTTTAACCAAGTCATTGTGTCAAATGCAAGAGCCACAGTTGAGGTGCAAGCAATTAGGGTTTCATCTGGGTCAATTCTAGGTCAACTGTGCAATTGAGGAGTATCAAAGCCTACTTTTAGGTCATGGAGTTCATGAAATGATATGATGAGACATCTGTGGTTTTGTGCCAAGATCAAGTCAAGAAAATTCAAGAGTGTGGGAAGTTGCTAAATTAGGGTTTCAGTGCAAAATTCCCTGTTTGGTGCCTAACTTCATGACCACATAACTCAAGATACAAGTTTCAAATGGATCTTTGGCCAACATGAAACTTGTATAGCATCTCAATACCTTTAATTTGAGTACTATAAGTTCTCAAGGGGATTTATAGAACTCAAGTTATGATCCAGACAAGTTACAAGGCCTCAGATGCCTCTGAAATTTGTCTGTGAAAATCATCTGACTTCCAAACTATTTTTGACCTAGAAGGAGGTTTCACTTGAACTTTTGGCCAACATGAAAGTTGCTCATCATGATCTTAGCTTTCTAAATTGTACTATAAGTCTTCCATCTGATTTGTAGGACTCAAGTTATGAGGTTTACAAGTCAGGGGTATTTTGGGAAAGTGAGATTATAGGTCATTTTCAATCATAGGTCAAAATATCCAACTTGCACTTGTCAAATGGATTTTTATTCAACATGAAAGTTGTTCAAAATTGGGTTTTTAGGCTAGCCAAGAGGTCATGATGGATTGATTGGGCTCATAGCAAGACTTGGTTTGAAATGGTTTGAATAAGAAAGATTTTCAAATGATTAAAGGAGGGGAAATTCACATTTTGAATAGAATGACCAAAACATGTCAAATAAGTGCTCATTTTGATTGGAAATTTGATTTTAGACACTTTGGCATTACCAGAATTTTGAGTTTAGGCCAAGTTTCATGAGTTGTCATTTGGTTTCTTCATTTGCAAGTCACACATCCAAAATACTCACCAAGGCATTTCAAGCACTCTTTTTGGTCTGGATACATTCACAAGGCAATTTGCAAGTGAAAGGGAAGCTTCTAGAGCAATTTTCATGGCTAATTCGTGACTGTTGCATTGCACATGTGAAGAGAAAAACAGAAAATTGGATTGGCTGGATTGAGCCTCAATTGAGTTTCTAAAGCCCATAGACATCTCTTTCTTCTCTTTCTTCTTTCCCCATCGTCACTCTCTCCTTCATCCTTTCTTCATCTTCTTCATCACTAGGGGTGTACGCGGGTTGGGTTGGACCGGGTTCGCCTTAACCCGTTACCCAACCCGTTCAACTTTCAATGGGTTGGGTTTATCATCAAACCCGTAATTCTACTTTAAAAACCGACCCGAATCAATCCGGATATTTACGGGTTGGGTAGGGTTGGGTCCACGGGTTGTGTATATAATAATTATTATTTTCAATTTAAAAAATCTATAACACAATTCAATATAATTTTGCATATTTCAAACAATTAAATTATTTACGTAGTGGAGACAAATCCTACATATAAAATAGAATAATTAAAAGTATAACAATTAAAATTTTGAAATATATTTTCTTTGTCATAAAAAATATTAAGATACATATACACCATTAATTATTTATATATTTTCATTAATATACCTTAATTTATAAAAATTTATTAGTTATTTTGATACTCAAATGTTATCCATTACAAATATATATCAACATATGTAAAACAAATATATAATAATATACAGTATATATGAATTGTTTTGATACTCAAATGATACTCAAATATATATCAACATATGTAAAACAAATATATAATAATATATAGTATAATGAACGGGTTGGGTCAACGTGTTCATGGGTTTAGAAACTAAAACCTAATACCCGAACCAAATCTATACGGGTTGTTACGGGTTGGGTCGGGTATACCCGTAAATGAATGGGTCCGGGTAATTAGTGGGTTGGTTCGGTTTGGGTAGGCGGGTTTGCGGGTCGACCCGCACCCATGAACACCCCTATCATCACCATCATCTTCATTTTCAATAAAACTAATTACATAAGTATAAAATGGACTAACATCTTATACTCTAACATAGAAGAACAAAAAAAAAAGCTCAAACCTAATTACAACCAAGCATTTAAAATACATAAAATTGCATAACCGCATTAGGTATAAATCAAACTCAGAATTTCACAGCAACACCAATTCTAGAAACAACCACGCCCTTTGTCTATCTGCATTCAAAGTCTCAAACCAAACAAAACAAATTATATTCATGTTTCAAGCCTAAAACAAGTACCATTGCAATATAAAAAACAAGTATAGAATTTTACATAGAACCACTCCAACCTTAAAAATTTGAATTTTTGCCCCAATTTTGTTCATAATAGCATTTGACTCACGAGACGAAACAGTGCGTAGAGAAAAATAAAGTGATGAAAACAGGGTGTTCGTAGAATTCAAAGCAACAAGGGCAGAAAGACGTGATTGATTGGGTGGATTTGAAAGAGAGGTTTTTGTGGATGGGTTCATGACAATGGTTGAGTTTGGGAATTTTTGATTTGTTAATTTTCTTTTCTAATTTTGGAGTTTTTTGTTGTATTTGTCTGTGGTTGTTGATAGGTTGTGGTGTTTGTAATTTTATTGAAGATGAAAATGATGATGATGAAGAAGGTGAAGAAAGGATTGAGGAGAGAGTGACGAAGAGGAAAGAAGAAGGGGATTTGGGATACCTAATTAATTTTGTATTTTTTAATAAATTAAATAAAAAATGTTTTTTAATGATGTGGCATTGATTTTTTAAAATTAGTCAATTTTTCCCTACCACCTCATACCTGAACATGCCACATAGTCAATTTTGTACTAGGGACTAAAAAATTTTTAAAAATATTCAAAACAAGGGACCTAAATCCAATTTTTTTTAAATAGGGATTAAAAGTTTAAAAAAATGAAAGAAGAGGGACTAAAATTGTATTTAAGCCTTAAAATTAATAAAATCTTATCTAAGATCAACAATATTTTAACAAAGATTAAATAGATTGATTTTATTATCGATTGAAAAAGAAACGTTAACTGAGATTGATTATAATAGTTTAATAAATAAATTTGTATTTTAAAAAACTCGAAGAGTAAATTTTAAATAAAAATTATAATAATTTAATTAAATTTTTTATTAAAATATAAAAGACATCAATTCAAAATTCGTTTTAAACCTCATTAATCTCTGCATAGTATTTTAATAAAACATTATGCGTTTTAATTTATCTCATTTAAGGAGATAAGACTTAATTATTGATCCCAAAGTTTTGTTTTAAGGGACATCTTTAAAGGGTGTCCATATTATAATCGATTTGTAAAACTTATGAATTTGAATTATCAAGAGAATCAAGAAGTACAGGAAAGATCTAGATGAAACTTTGAAAACCAACTTTAAAATATTCAAAATCAAAATTGAAGCCAAGAATTTAGTCTTTTAGACTTGTTTGTCACAATTTACTCTTTTTGACATAGGAAATTAGGAACTCCGATTTTATCAAAAGTTTATCAAACACCTAAGTGGCAAAAACAAGTCATCCAAATATCATTCTGATATGTTTGATAATATGAAACATGAAAGTATAAAATTAGGATATTTTGTACGCATCTACATTACTTCATATATACACATCGAAAAATTATGAATATTTTGTGTTCAAAAGTGAACTCTCAAACAAACTATGCGGTCTAGAATTACAATTTCAAAGCATGTGTAGTTTTTAAGAAATACATGGAGAAAAAACACAACCCTCATTTCAAGGCCAAAACTGGTTTACAACAAAACTCTAATCTTCCTAATGACTTCAAAACCAAACTCTACTAATTTACTAAAACAAGTCTCCTTTGAAATCTATCTATTTACTACATTATGAAAAGAATGGTTCAAAGTAAGCATGTCTACTTATAATTCTGTTTTTCTCGTCAAAAACGATTTTTCAACCTATGTTTTCACACAGGTTCATCCTTAATAGTTTTGCTTCGAAAACAAATGTTTCTTCGGCAATGTAATAGAAATCCTGCATTCTGCGAGAAATCTGAGCTTGTTGATAACTACAGGATACTTTCCTTCCCAAAAATTTATAAATCGGCAGCAATACGAGGCAATGATCATTATGTTCAGAAAAAATAATGGAATTTCAACTTGAAGATTTACAACTTTCAACAACTTTTCTAATCCTTTCAATAACTAGAGGGATTTCCTCGAACGAAATAGTTGTAAAACAAATACGAAACCATCCTGGTTCTATGCAATGGCAAGCCGATCCAGGAGTTATATTGATCTTTGCAACATTGATAAACTTCTCCCATAATTCATGTTCTCCTTTCTCACTATAAGGTTTGATTAATCCACTCATATCAGCCCAACAGAACATCCCGGCGCTGCTCTTAGCACACTTGATTCCTAGTTTATTTAAACAATCCACAAACTCATCGTGTATGCGTCTTATTCTATTCCGGTTGGTTTCAATGTATTCCTGAATGAACCGTTCATCGGAGAGCATTGAAGTAACTAACCTCTGTGTTGGAGCAGATATGGATGAAAATCTACTCATTTTTTTGGCAGCTTCCAAAACAGCTTGGTTGTGCGAATGTATAACCCCGACTCTAAAGCCGGCAATCGAGAGGTCTTTTGACAGGCTGTATATTATATGAACACGGCTTTTATCAATGTATTCAGAATCAAGAACTTCGGCTATACTCAAAAACTCCTCACTTCCGTATGTGGAGCCTGCAAATACTTCGTCAGCAATGATATGAATGTTTTTATCTTCGGCAAAGTCTAGAAGACTGAAAAGCACATCTCTCGTAAGAATATTGCCGACAGGATTCGAGGGGTTGGAGATGAGAATTCCGCGAACTTTGACTCCTCGTTTTCTTGCTTGACTAAACGCTTGTTCGAGAGCAGTGATGTTTAGGCTGAAATTGTCAGTACTTCGACAGTGAACAGGTATTAAGTCTATCCCTGGACGCCATCTTACGTCCCTGTCAAAACTGCATAGTTACTTTTAATTAGCTTTTAAATCTATAAAGCACTGAAAAATACACCACACACTGACACCAAGACATTGCCAACGCCAATGATAATAATTTGAAAATATGGTAGCAATCAATGTAACTGGATATGTCAGTGACTAAAGTGTTGTTGGGGCTACATAGATACGATGCGATAGTATAAGAAAGAGTCGTTGATTACCCTGGATAATAAGGCGTAGGGACAAGGAATGCGTTTCCTTGATCTGCCAAGCAGAAGGATAGTATCTCGATTGCAGGAGTTGCTCCTGATGTTAGTACCATATTCGACGGGTCAAATTCCACTGATCCTCCCATAACCTGACGCATAAAATCTGCCAAGGCCTGCAAAATCAAAGCAAACAACAAAAGTTTAACAGACAAACAAACAAACAAAGGTATGCCCATAATGAACTAACCTCAAATATAGAACGGTAGCGAATTAATAGGCAACTCCTCGAGCAAAGTTTTCCAAATAACAAAATTTAAAACAACTTATAAATATAACCACCATCAAAATCTTGTCCCTCTAGATAGGGTCAAATGTCACCATAATGTCTTCATATGAGTCATGACTAATGATTAGTTTCTCAATCGTGGATTGCAGAAAATAGTGATTTGTTCAAACTCCACAAGACTGCAATGCTATAGCACCGCAATATCGGCTATTTGACACTATACTAAATAGCATATCGCAACACAGTAGCAATTTGTTCAAATATAGCACCGTTTTTTACAAAACTACTAACGCTACCATTCTTACTAGTAAACCTACAAGTCTTTTTCACGCATGATAAAACCATCCAAGGCAAGACTTCCCTCTATTTTAGAAATATCGGTTATCCAACTTTCTATCTAATTCTTTATTCCTAATAACTCTAAATCGTACTATGCAACCACTCATCATTCATTGTAACAAAAATACCCTGTTTACTGCACTGAGACAGCAAATGACCAATTAAAATTAAAATGCCTGTTTGCAGCATTAAGATAAAAGTGTTTATTTTCAAAAGCTAACATTGACCTTGTACATTAAAGAAATTTGTGAAATGAAGCAACTCTAAAAGCTCAAATTCTATAATTAACATAACGGGAAGTAACACACACTAACACTACTAGTAACTTGAATAAAATCATTTCAACAACATAGCTTATAGCTCAACTAGCCTTAGCTCCAACACGAGAAAAGTGTTGTCAAATAGCAGCTATGGCAACTATACAGCAGGGTAGAATTTCAACAAAACCGTCTTTGTTCTGCAACATGCTATTAAGTACATAGTGTTTTCAAATAGACACTATAGCAGCGTTATAGCATTGTAGCACAGCAAAATTTGAAGGATGATGTACTTTCCGCAACTTGCGATTGACAACACCGGAATGTTAAGAGTTTTAGTTATCCGGAATGTTAGAAACCCCACAAAACTATCAATGTCCCTTACTAAACATCTTAAATATATGGTATATTTGATTAATTGAATCGGAGTCTCCATGACCAAGTGAATTGATCTAAACTCTAGAGTTCGACCCTTGCCATTTCAATTCATCTAGATTAATAAAATAAAATCATAATCATCAACAAAGGAAACAACAACAATAATAAAGTGAAAAACTAGTTTCCACTGACAGTGCATGATTAAATTTAAATCTCTACTAAACTCAAAAGGTAAATATCAACTAAGAATTGAAGAAACAGAACACAGTAACAAAATAATAAGAAACCAAACAGATATTGTAGAACATCACATCACCAACACAACAGCAACAACCAAGCATTGTCTCAATAAGTGGGGTCGGCTACATTGATCATCCTCTATCCTAGACCATGTTTCTATCCAACTCGTTAATCTTGAAATCTTTCTTAATAACTTGTCTTATAGTGTTTCTACGTCTTCCTCTTCCTCTAGTTCTTTGACTTCTCTCCATCTAATCTACTTTCCTTACAACAGAATCTACCGTTCTTCTCTATACATATCATGTAAGTCTATTTTCAACCAGCTTCTCTGCTATAGTTGCTACCCTATTATTCTTTCTAATATTTTCATTTCTAATCCTATCATGTCTAGTCTTACCACACATCCAACCCAACATCATCATCTCTATTAAACTAATTTAATTCTTGTGTTAATTCTTAATTCTTAACCATTCAGCTCTTGTACAAAATTTTATCTGATCCATTTCCGTCACATCACCGTAGCAAGAAAAAAATATACAATCAACTATAACTTGCACAATAACAGCAAATAAAAGATTAAATAAATAAAAATGACTTACAATTTTCAATTCATTCAATCCATGATGAGGTTGATAAGGCACAATTCCATTAATACTCAAATTCATATCCCCATTCCCCATCATTGATCCCTCCAAATTCTTCACCAACCATTTCTCAATCAAATCAAAACACAACTACATTAAACAAAACATAGTTAATTACACCAAAACAAAACGACAAAAAAAAAAAAACAACATAACATCGTAAATTCCGAAACCAACAACCACCTTATTATCCGACAAGCCTAGCTGAATAATCCCATTAGGGTTAGCAGAAACATCATAAGGATCTTGCGCAACCCTCTCCAAGCCAAGATAATAAAGAGAATCATCAGGCTTAGATAAAAGCGCAGCGAGTTTGGAAAGGCGAACAGGCGAAATCGATCCGCGAGAGGATAAATTAGACCGAGAAGAAGACCGAGGAAGAAGAAGAGTCGGAGAAGAAGATGAAGAAGGAGAAGAAGGGTTAGGATTAGGACGACGTCGTTTGAGGTAAAGTTGAAGAAAGTAAAAGAGAGCACAAGGAATTGAAATACCGAGGAGAAAACCGCTGCGACCTTGAACTACACCTTGAAGTGGCACGATTAATTTCATGCCGCTTCTGGAAGATGAAGAAGATTGGGATTGGGTTTTTGGGTTTCGGGTTTGAGGAATTGGGTTAGTGGGTTGGTTCTGGGTTAGGGTCATTGACCCGGCTTAAATGAGTGGGTTTGGTTTGTGTGGTTGGAGAAGAATTTGAAGAATGAAATTGAAGAAGAAGATTGAGAAAGGAGAAGGAAGAAAGTAACGAGTGATTGTGTTTGTGTGTGCGCCAAAGAGTGTGGTGTTTGTTTTGTTTTGTTTCTCTTTTTGTTTTTTGTTTTATTCTTGATTTTTATCTATTTTGTATTTGATTCCTCGGAGTTGTAAACACACCCAATCATTTTTTAAATGGAATATTCATTATTGTATACCAGTACTCCAGTATACTAGTATAAATTAAATTAAATTAGATCAAATTTTTTTTTTTTTATTTCTATGGATCTCAAAGAAAAAAATTATTGAAGTTCTAGATGTTGAAGAAAAATAAGTATAGTTGAGTTAAGAATTTTTTCAAGATAAATTTTTAATTTAAATTTTTGTGGAAGATTTAATTATTTGAATTTAATTGAATAAATAGTTTTTAATAAGTTTTGAAACAACCTCTAGAAGCTTTGATGGAAAGTTATGGGAATTAAAAATTAAAATACTCATCTAAGTGGTGTTACAAAAGGTTAGGTTAATTCAGATTGATATCAAACGGTTAACAAATAGAGATTAATTAGAATACATTGTCAATGTAAAACTATTTTATACTGACATCCAATTAAAATAAATTAATTTGAGCAATTGACGACAATTAATTTTACTATTATAAATAGGGGTTTTAGTAATAGGATTCAGGGTGTTGTGTTTACTATTGTACAAGTCACTCCAAATTTGCTCAAAGTATCCGTGTGTAGAGAAAAGAGTTCTAGGAGAATGTACGTAATGTAAAAACACCATTTTATGCTTTAATGAAATTTACTTTCACTTTGTATTAAAAGAATTTATCTTTTACTTTCTTGCAATTTACGTCTTTGGCATTACGTTTTGTTTCTTCTAAGCTTTTCTTCCTTAAAGCCTTTTACCTGTTCTTTCAAATTAATGTTCTTACATTCCTGTCGAACCATACACTTCAATTATTCTTTCTTCATAAACACTATCGAGGTGTTCAGTCTTTAGTATTTTCCATAGATTAAAATTTAGCACATGTCCTAGGATCAATCTGATTGATCCCGTGAATCACCAAAGTTAGATTTGGAAGATCAGTGGTTGTTTTCCAATTTTCACGGGAAACAAATTGGCACGCCCAGTGGGACAGTGCTAAAATTTATAAAACTTTTTGTAAAGGTTTTTGCAAAATTGCAGTTGTTAGTATTGTCTTTGAGAAAACTTTGTTGCATGTTATTAAGAAGTGGTAAAATAGCCGCTACAAACGAAGAACGACCAAGGAGAAACTACACTAGGAAAATGGCGACAAATACTAATCAGCCAAATAACCCAAACCTTCGAGGGAATGGTTATAATCCCCAACCTAGTAACACTAATCCTCGAGACGTGTCTAGGAATGATGTAGTTCCGCCCTCAGTCGCTTCGACAGGAGAGCTAATACCGCCTCTTGTTATGTCTGAACCATTGCCGTCAACGGTGGGTTCAGGGTCGACAGATATAAGAGCCTACACTCAGCCTGTTTTAGAGTATGTCGGGCCACAAGCATCAAATCCCCAAACTCCACAAGGGGGAATTTCGACGTTTAAACATTTCGTCCCTCCAGGGTTTTCACAACCATTACCAAGAAAACCACCATATGGAATGCCAACGTCAGTAATGCAAGGCCTCCAAAATGCTTCCCCAGTATTCTCAAAGAATGTGATGGCTTCACCATTACAATGATCAGGATTTGGGATAAATGTTGGTCGAAACAATCAATGTGTAGGTGTGGGGTACTCCACTCAGGGCCCTAGTCTAACAAATACTTCTATAGCTTGTTTGAGACAGCAGGTGGATGAGAGCAACCTTCAAATGGTATAAACCTTATCCCAAACTATGAGGGAAATCTTCCAGCCTTTAATCCAGAATACTACCCAGACTAACCAACAATTAGCAATGCAATTGGCACGCCTGGCAGAATTTATGGGTGTACCAGCTGCCAGCAGAACTACAATTGTTGTGGAAAACATTCCACGACGGGTTAGGGAATGTACCTGAGGAGAATCTAGAAATCAAGGGAGGGTCGAACCCCTTAGACCCGAACCTTTAGGGTCGAACCACCATGGGACCAAGTACCAATTCCGGTAGAGAGAGAGAGAGCCAGAGGTGATTATGGTGAATCGAAACCAAGATGCTGACCATGTCATACAACAGGTTCGACGTACAACATAGTCGTCGATAACAACTTAGCAGTCGTGGTCGAAAGAATAATGGTTCGAAATGGGTTAAACTCTGGTTTTACTAGGCCAAGTTTTCAGGAGATACGATGGAATCTACTGTCGAACACGTTGCCCGGTATATGATCGAAGCTGGAGAGATTGCAAATGATGAAAGCCTTAGGATAAAATACTTTCCAAGTTCTCTCACTTAAAATGCCTTCACTTGGTTTACAACCCTACCCCCTAACACAGTTTGTAATTGGACCCAGTTGGAACGTTTATTCCATGAACAATTCTACATGGGATAAACTAAGATTAGTTTGAAGGAATTGGCTAGCATAAAACGAAAGTTTTATGAGCCAATAGAAGATTACCTAAATAGGTTCCGACTACTCAAGGCTAGGTTTTTTACTCAAGTACCTGAACATGAGTTAGTCGAAATGGCCGCTGGTGGCCTTGATTACTCTATTAGGAAGAAATATTAGATACCCAATATATGAGAGATATGGCCCAACTAGCTGATAGGGTTCGACATCTAGAGCGTCTTAAAGACGAAAAAGGCTAAATTTAATAAGAGTAAGAAGGTAGCTTATGTCGAATATAATGAGAATATCGAAGGTTTATATGATGAACCATTGTATTTCGACGAGAATGAAATAGATGTTGCTGAATTAAAGCAGGGTCCTCCATACGGGTGTAAAATGTTAGCTCCCCCAAATGGAAAAAGTTTTTTCGAATCTGAAAAGAATGACAAGTTTCCAAAGAAAACATATACTTTCAATATCACTAAATGTGACGAAATTTTTGATTTGTTAGTTAAAGATGGGCAAATGATAGTACCTGCTGGCGATAAAATGCCACCTTTAGAACAAAGAAAAAAGAGAGGATTTTGTAAGTACCATAATTTTTTGGGTCATAAAACTTCTCAATGTTTTCTTTTCAGGGATTTGGTTCAGAATGCTATCCAAGAGGGAAGATTGAAGTTTGGAGAGAAAAGCAATAGGTAGATGAAAATTGACTCTGATCCACTGCAAGCGGTGGATGCCCACTATGATGAGCCCACAAAAGCGCATATGGTCGAAGTTGCTGATGGCTTTGACTTTTCGATTAATATGGTGGAAATCACTGAGGATTTCGTAAATGATACCGTGCTAGCTAAAGTCACTATAGGCTTTGAGAATAATACCACAAAAAACTCATGAGTGAGGCTGCTGAAGGCCTCAACAAATTTGCTGATGACTCGAGTGATGGGGACACAAAAGGTTCCAACCTGATGTTGTTAACTAAAGAAGCTGCAGATGGTTTTACTAGAATGGATAGAGCTGCTGAAGGATTTGAGTTGGGCTTTTATAGTCTGAACCTGAGTGATGACGTCGACATGGACGTAAATATGGTCGAAATAACACAACATGAGACCATCGAAGACAATAAGGTAAGTTTCCAGGAAGAGCGCAACAAAATGACATATCCAAGACATGAAGAAACCATTGTCGAATTCCTTCATCGCTGCCAAAAGAAAGGGTCTGGCGTCATGTTGTACCCCAGATGCAGTGCATTCTTCGACCAGAAGGCTGCCCAGAAACTCGAAGGGATGCAAAAGGAGAAACAGAAGTGGGAGAAGGCCAACTGTGGCCCTCGAAGTTTCAATCCAAGAAAATCTAAGCCTAATGCTAGAGCACCAGGAGCAAGGCCTACTACCTTTAAGTCATTTGCTGAAATTTCTAACGATAAATGGGTCAGACCTAATAAGGACAGACATAGGGGACAGCAGAAATGGAAGAACTTCGACGTCAACCGTGGTTTGTCGATCACCTATCGCAAGGAGTTTCAATCCTCCAAGACTACACATGTCTTTGAGAATTACAAAGGGAAGAACCCGATGTCGCGATCTCAGTGGAGGAGAGAACAAAGAAGAAGGAAGGTCCTCAGGGAGGCTTCATCGAAGAACCAAGGAGAATCCATCACTAATTCCCCTATTGAAAACAAGGGGAGTTAAATTAAGATTACTGAGAAAATGCCTGTGGGGAAAAAATTGTTCCCCTCTCAAGAAGGTGAACATAAAAGGACAGTCGAGGATGATGAAAAGATGACGGATAATTTCGACTCTGACTCTGAGTCCTCTTTGGATATCCTAGTCAATATGGTATCTATAATGCCCAGGGATTTCGACAAAATCACAGAGGTCGAGAATCTGGATGTCTACACTGAGGCAGAAATGACGGCACACAAGCCTGTGTGCTACCATGTCATGAAAAACGGGTGCGTCAAAGAAGAGAATTCCTTCTTCGAGTGACCTACGGAGGCAATGAGAAGTCATATGAAGCCTCTTTACATCACTTGAAAGGTAGAGAACATGCCAGTCAACAAAATTCTTGTGGATTATGGTGCAACGGTGAATATGATGCCACACTTTTTACTGAACAAAATTGGCAAATATGACACCGACACAAAGCCATATAATATGGTTCTTTTGAACTACGAAGGAAAGGTTGGCTCTGCAATGGGTGTAATACAAGTTGACCTGACAGTAGGGATGATTACTAGACCTACGGTCTTCATGGTGATAGAAACAAAGGCTAATTACAATCTGTTTTTGGGACGAGAGTGGATACATGGCATTGGTGCAGTGCCATCTTCGATGCATCAATGAATCGTTGTTTGGAGGCCAGACGACATAGTGGAGAACATCGAAGCTAATTAGGGATATTTCAAAGCACCTATAAATCATGTCAACAGAAGGCAGTTCGACAAACATTT